AATTAGTACCAAACTGAATCAAATTGGTACCAAGATGAATCAAAATGGTACCAAACTGAATCAAAATTGACATATCAAATTGTGTCAAATTGGTACCAAATTGTTTCAAAATGCTACAAAATTTTATCAAATTGGTACCAAAATGATTCAAAATAGTACCAAATTGTCTTAATAAATATTAAATTTTTTCCAAGAAATTATTGTCAGAAATGGTACCAAATTTTTTTGATAAATATGAAATTTTTTCCGAGAAATTCAATTATTTTCAGAAATGATACCAAATTTTCTTGATAAATATTAAATTCTTCCAAGAACTTCAATAATATTCAAAAATGTTAATAGAATTCTAATAATATACACTGCATTGCCTGTGTATATTATAATATAAATAAATAAATAAAACTTCTTTGCATAATTAAATTATTTTCACAAATAACAATATTCATCACAAGAATTATTTTCAAAAATAATAAAATTATATTCATTGAAGTTCAAAAATTTTTTTAAATTCTTGTCAAGTTTTCAAATATCTATTGTTAAATATTAAATTTGTTCACAGAATTTATTTGTTTCTGAAATTATAATAAAATTTTTTGTCAAAATACAATTATTTTCAGAAGTTTTAATGAAATTCTTTGCAAAATTCAATTATTTTTATAAATAACAATATTCATCACAAGAATTCAATTTATTTATTTATTTACAAAATCTTTTCAAATTATTTTCAGAAATAACAATATTCAACACAAGAATTCAATTATTTTCAAAAGTAATGTTAATAAAAATTCTTTGCGCAGAATTCAATTATTTCTAGATTTTCTAATAAAATTTTTTGTCATCATTTCAATTATATTTTCGGAAATTTTAATAAAATTTTTTCTCAAAATTCAATTATTTTTAGAAATTTTTAATAAAATTCATTGGCAAAACTCAATTTTTATAATTAACAATATTCATCACAAGAATTAATTTATTTTCAAAAGTAATAAAATTCTTCGATGACATTCAAAATTTTTTTTAAATTCTCGTCAAGTTTTCAATTATCAATTAAAGTTGGAATATCAAATTGGATCAAATTGGTACTAATTTAAAGTAAAATGGTAATAAATTTGATGAAATCGGTGCCAAAATGAATAAAAATGGTACAAAATTGAATCAAAATGAATTAAATTGGTACCAAAATGATTAAAAATAGTACCAAATTGAATGAAATTGTTACCAAATTCACTCAAAATTTGAATCTCAAATTGAATAAGAATATGGTATCAAATTGAATCGAATTGTTACCAAATTATATCAAAATGGTACCAAATTAATTAACATTCTTCTTCAGAGTAGATTTTGCTATACAATTCAAGTTTGTTATAAAAACAATAAAACATTTAAGAAACAATAAAATATTCCAACAAGAATAATAGAATTAAAGAGCGAACTGAATTAAAGATATTAGAATAATAAAAAAAATTTGTTATAGTTCTATATTTTAGCAAATTCTTTTCTCTCCGAGCACTGATTATAAGTATATAGTTAAAAAGCATTTATTTCAATCTTCCATAACAAATGGACATTTTAGATTCGAATACTTTTATCCACACTTATTATTTTTTAATATCAGGGCTTATTCCAAAAATAAAGTAAAAAATTTCTTTATATAATAAATTGCAATTAGAAAGTAATTCCATTTTCATATAGTCTGGAGCAGTAATTCATCATCAGTTTATTTTATATATCAAAGAGATGATATTTATTGACTCGCAAATGAATGCATTTGAAATAAGTGCAAAATAAAGGAATTATAAATGTAACAATAAGCGCGCTCAGAAAGTTGTGTATAAATATAGATAAAGTTTTCATTAATATTATTAAGATACCATTGAGTGCGATTTTATCAAAAAGTATTTTATATGTATATAAGCTATATAATTTTCTTTCAAGATTTTCACATTCGATTCAGAGAATGACTTTCCATTATTCGACAAATTGTGAGTGACATTCTTGGATTTATTTATTCAAGATATGTCATGTTAAAAGATCTTTTAATGGCGTTTAAATTACTTGCAATATTATATATCAAGAGAATAAAGTGACATCAGACATTTACCAATATACAAAAGTATAAATTTAAACTCAAAAATGAAATACAAATTTAATTGCTGTGTGAAATTTGTTGCTGGTAAAAAGAAACGAAATTTTTTATAAATAAATTATTATATGTGCGGGTTATTTGTGAAAATCTGAAAATTATACAAATTGCATATACAAGTTTTTGCAATTTAGCACTTTTGTTGTTTCTAATATTGTCTTTAATTTTTCTCTTTTTTAAATATTGCTTTAATTAAATTTTTTTTGTTTTATTTTTAATTCTTCTTTTCTTTCTTTTTAATGAATTTTTTTCTTTTTTAATTCTTTTTTTCTTTCTTTTTAAATTTTTTTTAATTGAGTTTTTTATTCTTTTTTTATTGAATGTGCCATTGCGATATGTGTGAGACTTTGTTTTAGGAGGTTTTAATTTTTTTTTCTAACTGACACTTTATAGAAAGAGTTGGCTTTTATAAGAGCTGACGAAGCTTTATAAGAGCGGTCATTGTTTTATCTTTTTTTTTTTCGGTGCGTTCAGATATGGCTGTGGCTACAACTTGCTAAGTGGCCCTTCTTTTCATAATTATAGGTCGGCACTGAAGGGCCAATTCACTGCCAATCCGTTACCGCTACTGAATCACCGATTGCTTAAATTGTAACATATATATAAATTCCTACACTTTTCATTTCCGATTTTTTATTTCAAATTTCTAATTCTTTAATAAGATAGGTACGAAAGTACAGATTATAGATTTTCGTATATAAATCTTTTAATATTCCCCACGCAACATAAAATTTTGTCTAGTCATTCGGTGAAATATTAGAATATTTAATTTTCAACCCAGATAGCACGCAGTCTTGCAGCAATCTGGACGCAATGATTCATTAAAAATTAAATTTTACAAAAGTGCGTTTCGAATATATTAGCAAAAGTTATTTAAAAAATAGTAAAAATAAAGAAGAAAAGCGCAGTTACTTTGTAAATAGAGAGTTAGATAAAAATATCTGAGATTATAAAGAATTATTTCCCAGAAGGAATTATTTCTGAATTCGGATTTTTTCTATACATTAGATTTAAAATAGGTATATTTAACATTTTATGAAGTCATAAGTAAAATACAAATGAAGATAGAAAATGCCCCATCGCAAGTGACAGTTGGATGCGTCGAATAATTTTGATAAAAATGCGTAGAGAGCGATTACGACCGCGTGCAGGAGAAGTCAATGCGTGGATCGCGTGTGCACGTCTGACTAACTGACCGCAAAAGGCTGACAGGGGGTTGAACACACGGTTAAGGGCTGATCAGGTCGAGGCGAGTCAAAGGAAAATAGTTGGGTGCGATAGCACCTCTCTGCCTATTACTAATAAATTAAAGACCTAACTTTTTATGTACACAAAATCAATAGAATAGATGATGATGATGATGCCATAACTACATCGTCACGCCACGTCAGTTCGTTTATTCAAATTACTCTTCACTAAGTTTTTTTACACATTCTCTATATATTAAAAGGTGGAAAAAATAGAAAATTTATTATCAAGAAAATTTAGACATCTAAATTTTTCATTTCTAAATTTTCAAACTTGTTTCCATTTTTGTTTATATATGTCGAGTTGTACGTCGAGTGATTCTCCATATAAAGTCGAGCATATAATACTTTCATAAAATAATGAAAATTCATTGTAAATACTGGCAAATTGGTAATATTTATATGAAAATATTTAAAAGTAAAAACTCCCAAGGCATGAGTAATGCGTTTCTATTAAAATGTTGTATCATCCTCCTACGCCAAATAATCAAGAATAAACCACACCTCAAGTAGAAATAGCGTGTTCTTTAGGCACTAAGTTTAAAGATACACACGTGATCGAGTCGACTGTGCAGCTGCCCCTTGAAAATACCATATGGCATGCGCTTCCAACAGCTATAACACCCTCTCATCATAGTTTACGACTACTCTTTTTTGAAACACCACCCCCGCGGAAATGAATCTGATAAGAGAGATTGTGCCGATGATAAGTGCAGTGAGGTATATATATATCGTTTGTTCAAACAGAAACGCATGCCTTCAACAAATCTGCACTCGGCTATTGTTCACGTTTCCCTTTTGTATTTCAAGAACTGTCTAATTTCACGGCTGGTGATACATCTACTTTTGGGACTCTATAGTTGAATGCTCATTTTTGGTATAATTGTCTTATTATATCCCGAGTAAAAAAAATAATACGGCTTATGTAAATATTTACTACGAATTAGATGTATTGAATAGGGCTCGATCCAGTGAAAGTATATTTAAAAGTACGGCCTTTACGGACTAAAAATGAAAAATTACGAATCATTTACGGACCAATTACTGTTAAAAATATAAACAGACTGAGTTAAGAGAACATTCTACTTAAAAGTATAAATTAAATTTTTCATAACTATAAAACATGAAGATATCGATAGCTGATCGCTAATAATTAAAGATAATTCAGTAGTGAAAATAAATCAAAGGTCGCAAACCTTCAGATACTAACAGTATATAAAGTTTATGGTAAAAGCTTTTTCTGCAAAGATTTAGGGTATCTTTGTTCGCTTTTATTCGCTTCGTAGCATCAATTGAAATAAATATTGTCCAGAACAATGGGAAGCATTCAATGAGCAATCTCCTTCGAACCCAAAAGTCCGTGGTTTTGGAAACGATTCGCGCAAACGGTATATGGAGAGAACATCACCGGAAGTGAGCACAATTCGACTACTTCCGTACACGCGACCTCCTTGCAATTAATTCATTACTATATTATACCGGATGATGACGCGGTGCTCTACGCTTGTATTGTAAATTTCCCTCTTTAAATCCGAACAATTAACAATTTAATCGAACAATTTTTCGAATTTCAGTTATTTTAACCTTTTTTTTGTTTTTCTCATTTTCAGGACGAATCGACAAGAACCAAAGTGAAGGATCAAGAAGCCGAACAATGGACATTGGATGTTCCAAGGATCAACAAAACTTGGTGAGTGATTAAAATCTTATTTTATATATATATATATATATATATATACATTTTGTCGCAGATTTTAAAAAATATTGACGTCATTATGGTATATTCGGTTATATAATTTGTCACGCACGTAGAAAGATGAGTGATAGAAGAAATGTTTTTCTAAGTGGAAGCGGAAAGTTAGATCCCTCGAATTAATTGTTCGTGTGTCAAAAAATTGACGCCAACTTTTGTATGTGTGAGGTGTAAGCGCGGGGTTAAGGGGAGAATATATTCCAGGCGGGATAATCGCGCGGTGACTTTTTGAGGGCACCGACCATGGAAGCGTCACATCGGTCACGACACGTGACTTCACGTTCGAATTCATTGCCACTGACACGCGACTTCCAATCAGCCGATATTGTACTTCTGCACACTTCGCTGTCCCAGAAGAATAATGAAATCCCACGTCCGGTATATATAGTACAGATAGGCTAAAGTTGAAATTTTCACTTGGCAAAGTGTTCTGTCGCGCAGGTAAAATGCGCACGTACTACAAGAGATTTTTTTCAGTTTCTTTTTCTGCCCATACGTTGACTTAGCCCCAATCTAGCGCTTTTAAATCTAATAGTGTATCGATTTTGTCGTTTTTTGTCGATAAGGGTCAGTTGAGTAGGGTAATAGAAAAAGAATAGATAATTAAATAGAAAAACTTCTAAGTATCCAGGCACCAGTATCTATATAGTATCTTGAAAGTTCGGCTAATTTTTTCTAGTAGTCAACACATCTTTCGTGTTACGGAAGATATTATTGTTTATAAATAATATGATATCAATATTGATATTATTATTGTTATTTTCTGCCCATACGTTGACTTAGCCCCAATCTAGCGCTTTTAAATCTAATAGTGTATCGATTTTGTCGTTTTTTGTCGATAAGGGTCAGTTGAGTAGGGTAATAGAAAAAGAATAGATAATTAAATAGAAAAACTTCTAAGTATCCAGGCACCAGTATCTATATAGTATCTTGAAAGTTCGGCTAATTTTTTCTAGTAGTCAACACATCTTTCGTGTTACGGCTGAAATGCCTTTAGTCTGTACGCAATTACTTGTGTATTTATGTCATTAAACCATATCCATTAAACCATAACCATTGCTTCAGCAAATTTAAAATTTCTTTCATAAAATCTACTATTAGCCTCAGCTAATTTCGAATTGAGCAACAATTAGAAAAGAAGCACATAACCAACACATTGCGAAATGTTAAATGTTGCTTCTTTCTTTTTCGAAATCCCCTAGAATGTATTGCTTGTTTTCATTAGCAATTTGAATTGACGCTTTTTCAGTGAATTTGTGCGCGTGTGTGTATGGAGAGAAAGTTTCGTAGCGTGACACGTGACGTCACGGTAACGTCAATTATTAGGCGTCGCGTGCCTGGACGTCGCCACGCGTCATTTGTCAGTGTACCCGCGAGTATATCTTCTACATCCCACTAGCCATTTGTATAATGTATGTGCTATATATAGTGTGTATGAATTTAAACATGTGTATGCGCACACGCAAGCGTATATGTTGCATGCATACAACGTTTTCCTCCGCCCTCACAAATGGAAAAGCAGTTCTGAATTACTCCCAAAGAAACCTTTCTTGACACGTTGAAAATTTTTTCGAGTTTCACTCACTGATTTATTGCTGCTTTGTTTCTTATATAATTATTCACTTGTTCTTTAAGAATCTATAAGCTTTTTTTTGCAAAATGCTGAAAAAACATTAAACAATAAACCATTTTTAGGAAAAAGGTAATTTTTTTATGATAATAACGACTTTTTAAAAATTTTTTAGGTTGCTAGTGCTGGTAAATAGTATATTGTGGAACTAGGGCGGAAAGAAGATGTTTTCCGAAAAGTTTGTAAGTCACTGCTCTCGCTTCGCTCAAGCAGCCACTTACAATCTCATAGGAAAATAGTTTCTTTCCGCACTTGGTGCACACGGAGCTTCTTATAACATCTGTTTAGTAAAAACAAAGATTTTCATACTGATTGATGAATAAATTTAATGCTATGTTGATTACTCTATACTTTTTCCAACATCAGGGATGCCACGAAAATTTAATTTTGTTTTTCCCTGATTTCTAAAAAAAAATTTCGATTTATTCCCTGACCCTAAAAAATATTCCATCAGGCTTCGCACTCATCTACTAAAAGCTACTATTTACTATTTTGTTTACGTTATGCTACTATTTGGGTACTTTTTTAGATTTCAGCAACTAAAAAGCTACTATTTCTTATTATTTTTAGAATTTACGGTACTTTAAATTCGCTAATAGTAGAAATCAAAAAACTATTCTTAAAAATGATAATCAACAAATTTTTTAAATAATTAAATTCTTTCGATGAATTTTAATAAAATTTTGAAGCATAATTACATTTTTCGAGAAATTCGTTTAAAATTGTTTTAAAAATAATTAAATTCCTGTGCAAAATTTTATTTTTTGTAATACTAATTCATACTGTTTTGGTGAATAAATGAAATTTCATGTTGATTACAGTTTAGAAATGTTATGCTGCTTACAGAAAAGTACACTTTTCTGCATCGTATTCAGCATAGTAAATGAAAAAAGAACAGCTTCTTTTCGTTACTCTTGGTGCACAATATAATCTATACTATTAATAATACAAAAAAGGTGTTTCAGACAATTTTAATCGTCAGACAATTTTTTGCATCGTAATTTAATATGTAATTAAAAGATATTATGAATTCTTTATTCAGATAAATATTCATGTGATTGGAATTTTATCTAATCGAAATATATTTAATGGCAGTTTTTTTTGCATGTCTGCGTTAACGTCACTCAAATGCATTTTCATATTTCGAAAAAACTTCCATTTGTCTGGAATTTTAAGTAACAATTCTTATTTTAAATGCTGTGTCGCAATTAAAATCGCGATTATTACTCTAATTATAAAAAATTTAGAATATACATAAAGTTTCAGACGAGTTCAGATTGGTCTTTGACAGTAGTGTCTATATATTGTATGTTAAATATTTTAACAGAATTTTCATCTCTTATCAAATACTTAACAAAATCTTAAATTAGAGAATTAATTAAATTCTATGCATAACTAAATTTTGACACAAAGTTTAAAGTAAATTGATATTAGTTTACTAATAATATTTATTCTATTAATACGTATATATTATTATTATTACTATGAATTTGACTTCCGATTGAACCGAATGACAATGTACAAATAATACAAAAAATATTAATTGCATTGAGAGAGAAATTTTTTTGATAAATGGTATACAAATGACCGTATATTGATTCCTCTAATCAAAGTTATCAATTTTCTTATTTTTCTTTTCACATCCCCTTCGACATTGTGTGTGTGCGATGAAAAAGTTGGTCGTTTATCTAAAAACAGAATCGCAATGTAAGTTGACAAAACAACCGTGCTCATTTATTGAGCTCATGTGGTATGGCGCGTGCTGCGTGTGCATTGAACGTGCGTATTATATCCGGCGTGCGCGTGGTTGGTGAATAATTAGTTGATTGTCCTGTTCGCGGCCGGAACCGGATCATCAATATTTTTATTGCTAAGCGACTCCATTCAATGATATCCACCCTTGCGGTTCTTTTTTTTAGTTTTGCCAGAAGGGAAACGCTTTCTATTCTCTAAGTGATATTTCCTCTCGAAATCGTGTGTGTCAATCGAATGCTCAACTCCTCGAAAACTCAAATCCTCGAATGCTCAAAATCTCGAATTCTCGTAGAATTAAATCAAAATTAAATTTTTGTGGCATTTCTGAAGTCGGAAAAAGTAGTTATCAACATAGCATTACATTTAATCATCAAACCAGTATGAAAATCTTTGTTTTTACTAAACAGATGTTATAAGAAGCACAGTGTGCATCAAGTGTGAAAAGAAACTATTTTCCGATGAGTTTGTAAGTGGCTGCTTGAGCGAATAAATTTGAATAAAAAAAAATAACTTTTAGTTTCGCAAATCTGAAAAGAAGTATCAAAATAGTAGCAAATTATTGTAAAAAAGGTAGTAAGTAGTATAGATTTTTGTAAATGGGTGCAAAGACTAGAATATTTTTTTTAAAATTTATTTATCCACTCGTCTTTTGCCTTAATTGATATATATTATATTTACTTATATAGGAGACTGAATAACAATTATGGAAAGGGAAATAGTGATTAATGAACTACAATTGATGAAATTGTTCCTGTCTTGCAGAATTAACGATCATTCACTTCCATCTCTTCTCTCTGATGTATATATATAAATATCTCTCAGCTCAGCAAGATGTATCTTTAATTATTCTTCATGAGGAATAAAAAGAATATCAATTTGTATATTCTCATCATTATTTCACACATAAAAATGTGTATATCTATAAAAAGAGGAATACTTCATATATATTCACGCGGTGAAAAATTGAGTTATAAATATTGTTTGAATTTTGATGTATTAGAAAGTGAATAATTCACTTATGTGCTGCATGCGCATGCATATTGAGATGGTTTAAATAAAGTTACTGGCAACTTTATCAGTGTCATGGAACTATATATGCTAGACACCTACTCTGAGGAAAGTTTATACAAAGTATAAGTTGTACATAATAGAGGGATGCACTTAGCGTTTCGCCACGGGAACCAGACCATAGCGAATCTCTTAACAAACATGCGGTAATCTTTTATGTGATACCTAGCATCATCTGGCATCATTAAACTCGGAAAAGAAACGAGTATACCAAACACACCAAACAGTTGAATCATCAATATGTGAGAGAGAGAGAGAGTAATATTATCACAAACAGTGTTTTTTTGTCGAGCCAAAAATGGAAGAGGGAAAAATATTTTAAAAATGTAACATGTTTCCTTTACCTGGAATTTTTATATACGTATTTTTGAGATATTTCGTTGTTGTTGAGGGAAAAACACGTTGAAAAATGAATCATATAGGGAAAAATTTTCTTTCTTCATCATTGCTGTGGTGTATTGTTGAATGCGTTTCTAATGTTTAT